AAAGGTGTATTTTACACAGGGCATCATTTAAAAGTAATTTTATTTAGCAAAAGGAAACATTTTAAGCTTCTAATAGTAAATGTGCATCATTACTTAAGAACTTGGCCTAGAGGAATTGATCAGAACTGCTTAAAGTCCTTTAACAGTGGTCATAGACTTAGAGTTTGAAGGAGCCCTCACAAGAGAGTCTCTTATAATTTAATTTGCCTTTTTGATTTTAGTAATAGGTTATAGTTAAAGATCTCAAATTAAGTAAGACATGTTCATAAGTAAATTTTATTTGTTTCTAGATCTTACAGCCCTGTTCTTTATTTATGAAAAAATGTGCATGGACTTCAGGAAAAGAAAATATAGATATTAATGTTGAAGAAGTTATAATTAAGGTTAGTGCCTATCGTATTATTTGGGTGAAAATTATTATTTTTCCTATCTTTTGATGTCTGTCATATCTATAGCATTATGCTACTCACATATTTAGTAATGAATAAATACCTCTAACATTAAGAAACATTCTCATTAATGCAAATGTTTGTTTCTGTTTTCTTTGAAAGAGTGCAGTTGACCCTTGAACGATGTGGGGATTAGGAGTGCGTTTAACTTTGTAGTGAGCCCTCAGAATACTCGGTTCCTCAGTGTCTGCATTTCTCCGTATCTGAGGATCTGCATTTGTGGATCCAAACAACTGCAGATCTTGTAGTACCATTGTATTTACTATTGGAAGAAATCCATACATGAGTGGATCCCTGCAGTTCAAACCCATGTTGTTCAAGGGTGATCTGTACTTTTAAATGTACACAAATGATCAGGATAGCTTTTATCTATTATATTTGCATGTGTGTTGGAGTTTGGGTTTGGAGGGGAGAGCAGACATGAAATGGGAAGGAAGGATGGGAAAATAAGGTTGCTGTTATTTTATTTGCAATAATGTATTTTTAGGTTTTTATTTGAGATAAGATTTGGTTGAATTAATAATTATGTGATTAAATGTTTTACTTGGTTTATAAAATATTTATAATAATAGATATATGCTAGAAATAAATTATTAGGATTTTTTTATCTGTTACATTTGAAGTATTGAAAAAAACAGTCAGTTCTTCAGTGGCATTCATAGTTTTTAAATATGATCTCATGGCCAATACAGATACAGAATACTTTCCAAAGTCTATTTCTCTCTCTGTCCAAAGGGCACAAAATTGAGGTGATTGAAAGCAATTCTGATAACAGCTTTATTATATAGGTGAATAACCAGTAGTGATGAAATGAAGGCTCGAAATAATGTCATTTGAATTACCATGTAAATAACAGCTTAGGTTTCTCTCAATATTTTAAATAGTAGATAGTCTTAGATTGCATTTTAACAGATTTGCTTTTCTAAAGACTTAAAGTGGTAAATGGGGGGAAGAACTTGAATTTGTATGCACTTTATCTGAGACATGGGTTAAGGTGCTGAGATTGTTCTGTTTCGTTATATGTCACTTTAGTCATTCAACAAACATTTTCTGAGCTTTTGCTGTGTGTAAAAAATGTCCTGTACATTAGGGATACATGTTCCCTGCATTCAAAAAACTTAATGACATATGTGAGAGATAGAAATGTGTCAACTGATTACAGCTTTCAGTGCTAGAGGCATGCACAAGGCGCTGCTGGGAGCACAGGCAGGAGCCTCCTGCTCAGACTAGGACATCAGAGAAA